GGAGACTTTATCACCCGATTTCCCCCTAGTTAGTCTTCATCCAGCTTGGCCTAGAATGTCCTAGATATGGAGTAGGGATTCAGGCTGGCTACTGTGCTATACAGGTTGCATCTGAGGGGTTGGGGTGGGGGTGCAACAAGAACTGGAAAAGCACTTTGGAGGCCCGAGGCTTGGGGGGCAGTGAATAATGTAGGCCTCTGCTGGGGCCATTGCCTGCCTGCTCAGCTGCACCAGCACACCTCACTGGGTAATTTAAACACAGCTAGTTCAGAGCCTTAATGGGCCTGCTTGCTTCCGACCTAGCACATGAAAGGGAAAAAAACCAAAAAGCTAAAAGTATGCAAATTCTCACTCCTCAGGAAGGAAAGAGCATTCTGTGAAAGGTCCAGACACCAGTAGCCTCTGGAGGTGGGGATCAAGTCAAAGGTCAACTTTGGCTCTGCTGAGCTCTAGGAAGCTAGGGGAATTTTCTTTCTGAGGATAGGAGTAGAAGTCAATCTTGGTAATTGGCTTCCATGCCAAGTTGCTGCCGTAGACACTCATCAAATGTCGAGTGATTAAGCCTGAAATGTGCAAAACATTCCAAACAACCACTCAGAAGAACAACTCTCTGTTCCCCAAGTAGTGTTCCTAGCTAGAGAGTCACCACCATACACCCTCAAGACACCCGGTGATGAAGATGATCGTCTCTACAGTGTGGGCTGTGAAACCACCCTTCTCTCCCCCCAACCTGCTGTCATTTTGTTGTCTGTCTGTCTGTCTATTTGCCTGCCTCTCTGCTAAGATGGTGACCCGGCCCAGGGAGGGTCTGCAGCCAATTCTTCAATTTCCTTGGAAGCCCAGACCACCAAATATTAAGTGAATGAAGTGACTTTGAGCCCTGGAAATCTTCCCCACTCCCTTACTTTCAGAGGATCAGAATCTTTGTTCCCTTCCAACCCATAGTTATGGGCCTGGGCCAGATCACCATATATGTAGTCTAGTTCTTAAAACCTAGAGGAAAGGGGGCAGCTAGGTGGCACAGTGAATAAAGCACTGGCCCTGGAGTCAGGAGGACCTGAGTTCAAATCAGGCCTCAGACATATAACACTTACTAGCTGTGTGACCCTGGGCAAGTCACTTGACCCCATTGCCTAGCAAAAACAAACACACACACACACACACACAAAAACCAAACAAAAAAACCTGAAGAGAAGATCCCACATCTCCTTAACTTGACTGGAGAAACAGAGGAGGCTTTTAACCCTGAGAGTTTAGGGGAACGTTTTCTCCTTCTTCCCAGCCCAACCCCTCTCCCAGAGGATTCAAAGTAAACTGTTATCTAGAGTTGGAGGGTATGAGGGACATGATATGTTGACCAGGTACCCTCTCTTCTTTGCAGCTAGAATCATTTTGTTATAGCATAGGTTTCCCCATAGGGACCTGTCCTGGGACGTTCTGTGGATCAATCAGTCAATAACCAGTAAACATCTATTAAGCACCTGCTAGGTGCCAGGCACTGTGCTAAGCACTGAGAATATGAAAAGAGTCAAAAGATAGTACCTGTCCTCAAGGAATTTGTAATTTAATGAGCTGGACAGTCAGTGCAGGCACTGATGGTTGGGGAACGTAGTGATCTTTCTTAATGCTGGAAAACGATGACAGAATCCCTAGATCTCTCTGCTTCCTGGGTTTCTCACTCTTCTCTTTCCCAGATCCAAAAGATCTGGCATGACTGGGATCCAGAGAGATGGAAAGCCCTGGAGGACAAGAGGTATAGCCAGCTATGGATTCTGCAACTCTTCTTGCCTGGCCAGTTTGTTGCAAGCAGGGAGGAGGAGGTATGGAATACATATATGAGAGAGGAAAGAACAGGGCAGAGCAAGAAGGCAGAAATGATAGGGGCCTGGGAGAAGGTAGAAGCAAGGGAAATGGAATAGGATTTGCACATCTCTTATGGGAGGTTCTGGGGCACTTCCAGAGGCTTTTTCCAACCTCTCAGACGTGGGGAGCTCCAGTCTGTGCGTGTGCCTAAAGTGATGAAGCCCCCCATGAAATATTCTGACAAATCTCCACTCCCAGCTGCTCAGCGCCTCGAAAAGTATTTTCCCTTAATAGACTCCCATTCAGCAGAATGCCTGCAGCCCACATCTGCGGAAACCAGGCCACAGCAACTCCTCCCACTGGGCCAGGGACACAATTCACCGAGCTTTTTCCTCTTGTTCTGAGTCCGTTCCTCCCCTTTTCTGTGACCACCCTTTATCTTGTCTAGTCTCTTTCAACCTGCCCTGTTACTTCCCAGGTCCATGCTCAGGAGCTGGAGGAATACGACTCAAAGCCTCAGTCCATACCATTAGTGGCCTCCATAAGGAAGACATTTATTTCACTCATGTCTTAACTACAGCTGTAGGCTCAAGCAGTTTTGATTGTCATTCATTCATTCACATTCATTCATTCATTCATTCATGCAAGCATGTCTTCATTCAAGGCATATTCATTAAATACCTACTGTAATCAGAGCACTGTGCCAGGGACTAGAGGAGATACAGACTTTAGAAAAGACATTGTCCCCATCTTCATGGAACTTTTAGTCTTTTACAAGGTTAAGACATAAATACAATTATAATGACCCATCCTGGTGCTGAAGAATAGATGAAAAAAAAATGCACTGCCCTCTCTTCTTTGCAGAGGTGGGGGGCTCTAGGTGTGGAACACTGCATACACAGTCAGATTAGGTTGATGTGTTGGTTAGTTTTGCTGAGCTATTTCTCTCCTCCCCTCTTTTTTAAAAATTCTTTGCTATGAGGGATAACTTTTCTGGGTAAGGGTAGGGGAAAGATTATATTCAGAAAGGAAAGTGATGTAAAAATAAAAGACATGAACCCTTTTTTTTTTGCTTCTAGGCAATTGAGGTTAAGTGACTTGCCCAGGGTCACACAGCTAGTAAGTGTCAAGTGTTTGGTCTGAGGCTGGATTTGAACTCAGGTCCTCCTGACTTCAGGGCCAGTGCTCTATCCACTGTGCCACCTAGCTGCCAATACAAACCCATTTTAAAAAGACATACAGATAGCTGTGATACACAAAAATGTATCGAAAGACATACATTGCATGCGAGATATGAGGGATGAGGTCCTAAACCCTATCCTCTGAAGATAATTTCAATCAGCAGACATCCAGTCTGAGATCTGGACAGACCTGCTCCCTTCTTTCCATCACATCCCAACTTTGTCTCATCTCCTCCATGAATCCTATAAACTATTACTTGTGGATAGGTTGACGTGTCCCAAAAGAACTGCTGAAAGATTTTATTTGAGGAGTTGATTGAGGCCTTGAGGGGTGGGATGTGAGGAATCTTGGAGGCCTGAAACTCTCTCTCCTCCCCCACCCCAATATTCTTGTCTCAAAGAAGTAGAAGCCACCAGTAACATCTTGGCTTGGAAGGAAGCATTTAACTGGTGTTCAGTAAGTGTTTTTGAATGAAAAAATTTGTTGCTTATATATTCATAAGTGTGTCTTGCTTCCTCAATTAAATACTAAGCTTTTGGGGATAGGGACTGTCTTGTATATCTCAACATTTCCTATAGTGCCTACCTCAAACAATACCTTCCACATAGTAGATTCTGCAAATATTTGTTGATTGGTTGAATGAATGAATAAACAAAGTACCATCACAAACTTGAATAAAGGAGCCCCAAAGGGAAGGAATAGTAGTAGAGGAGGAGCACATAGTCAAGCCTCCGGAGTGCTGCCACCTTCCCAAAAGTTTACTGGGATGTGGTTTCATCCTCCTGAACTCTTTTAATGACATAATTGCTTTAACTGAGAATCTGGATGATGGAGATTGAGACCAACTTGGATTATTAGTGCTGTCCTGTCCTGATTGGGTCTCTGTCCATGATCAGCTCAGTCTCAACCCTGGGTTAAGTAACCTCATCTCACTAGAATGTTTCTGTAGCCAGGAAATAGGCTCTCTAAGGAGCAACAACCATTTAGGAACACAGGCAGTTGTCAGGAGCCGAAAGTCTTCATGAATCAGAGCACCCGTCTCCACCCAACTCATTGGTTCTATCTACCCGACTATATTCTTCACTCTTTTAATGCCATTGGTGTGGTGTGGCAGGAGTCAGGACCCTGTAGGAAGTTACTGCTATCTAGTTTGAGGGAGGTGATTCTAAGATAGACACTCTGAGAGCTGGGAGGGCCCCAAAGAGGCAGAATGAACTTAAGCCTCTGGCTGACCTTCATAAGGTTAGCCCTTGCCCTCACTTTCTGCCCCCCCTTATTGGGAGAGACAGTTGTTCTGAGGGCAGAAAGTATATTTGGCCTCTTCCCTTGGACCACACTTCAGACTCACTTTCCCTCCTTTTTTGGGTCACAAATGAACTGACCCTGCCAGTCACTCAGTCAATTACTTTTTAGTCAGTCAGAGAACCATCATTTCTCTAGTCAGCCACTCATTAGTTGTCAATTGGTCTATGTCTAGTCATCATTCAATAATCACTTGTCTCTCAGTCATCTGTCAGTCATCAGGTGGACTTCCCCAGTCAGCCAGTCATCAATGGACTACTAATTTGTCCCTTACTCCTTCTACTCAGGCATCCAAACCAAAATAATTAAGCCAGGAAGATGAAGAGCCTAGTCTTGGGGGTAGAGAGTTTGGGTCAGATATGACCCCTGTCCACATAGAGCTTTCCATCTGATACACATCAACAGAGACAACCTTTACCCACCAAACCCCTGGGTCTGGAGACTGGACAAGTTAGTCCATCCCTACTTCCCCTTTCGCCCCCAGAACCCAGCTGCCATTGCTGCCTGGGAATCTGTCTCCTTTGTGACCCGTCTCAGTAATTTGGAAGGTGATTAACAGCAATCATGCTGGAGTTTGACATCCCGGCACGGCAGCTAAATTGAGGCTCACAAAGCCTCCTTGACATCCAATATGTTATATGCTTTTCCCCTTAATTAGGAGCTAAAGTGGATAAATATGAAGTTGCCATGACAACAGCCTCCTGTGTCTGTAGCAGGATGTGGCTCAGTTTATGGCTGCTGGCTCCTTAGGCCACTGGACCAACCCAGTGTCTCCAGATGGGGTGAGCTGTTCCTCAGTCCCCTTCCCTATTGAATTCTCCTACCCCAAAACCCTCACTTCTTGGCTAGGATTCCACCCCAGGACAACTGCTTCCTTAGATCCCCTATCCTTTGCTCTTTACTCCATTGGCCTTAATGTAAAGCGTTGCTAACCTATAGAAGATCTGTTTCTTCAGGGGGAAAAATACCGGGATAACGATGCAGGGTTGTTGGGCTTTTTTGTTTGCTTGTTTGCTTGTTTTTGTTTTTTATGTTTTGCCTTATCTAATTCCACCGAGTCACTCTGAACTTCTGTGCTCCAGGTGCCCCAAAGCACCGTTTCCCAATTCCGTCTGGGTTTACATGAGCTCGGGCTTTGGCTGTGAATGGATGGTAAAAGGCTGGAGGGAAGACCTGTCAGCTGAGAGGGAAAACAGCAAGAGCTGCGTGGCGGTGGCCGAAGAGTAGGAATCTCCCGAAATCATCCATACAGGCAGGTAAGAAAGAAGATCGAATGCATCCTCTATTGCAGCTCATCTATCATAAGCTTCTCTGGGCAGAATTCGGTCTGGGGATTGGCTGTCTAGTTAATTTAATGGTTAGCTAACACTAAAGACGGGACGACTCTAGGACCTTGGCTGCAACGTTTGCTGTCCAGAGGTGACCACTTCCGAGAGGATTTTCCCCTAATTCCCCACCCCCCCTCCCTCCTCGAACCTCGCTGAGGCGGAGAGGGGAAGTAGGGGGAGGGTGGGGAGTGGGCTGGATGATGCGTGGTCTGGTAGTTTCCGATTTGTCTCGTCTGTCCCCAGCCCAGTAGGAAAAAGAGCAAGAGGAGGACTCCAGGCAGCTGTTAATGGTGATCATTTTCGAAAGTTTGAGAAAGAAAGCAAATAAAAACAACCGAAACGGTTCAAAGTGCCTTCTGGAAGTCACATTTCTGGAGACCACCTGTTTCCACCAGGAACACCTTACAACTAATGGTTTGATTCCAGTCTACGCCCAAATTATTAATGTGTAGAAGTGGTTTTGAACCGCTGCTCATAATTGGGGGGGGCCGCGTGCCATGCTGGGATGAGGCAACCCCTTCTTTTCAGGGCCCATAGCCCCCCACCCCCGCATTCTCCAACCTGGCTCTGCCGTCACTCCCAGGGACAAGGAATACTGGAGGGGCCCCAGCACAGGCAGCTTCCCACTCACCACGTGCCGGGCGCCGGCAGCGTGGGAGTTGGGGTGGAGTGTGGAGAGACTGAGAACCTGGCCCCCAAACTGAGTTTCCTTCCAGTTTTGACTAAAAATAGGCATGATGCCGGCAAGGCTCGTCCTGTCAGACTGTGTGGTGGGGGGGAAGCGGATGTCGGTGCAGACGTGATTCCCCCCCACCTTTCTCTTGGCCCTCCACCTCCACTCCGCATCTCCAGGCTGCACGGCTGAGTTTAGGTATAAGAGCATTGGATTTGGAAAGTGAAGAGCTGGGTTCGAATTCAAGACTTTGCTGCTAACTCTCGAGTAATCTCGGGCAAATCACTTTAACCTCTCTGGACTTTAGTTTTCTTCTATGTAAAAAGGTGGAGTTGGAGTAGATTATCTCTTAAGAGATCAACTGTAACAGATATAAATTTTTTTCAGGTATCTTTCAGCTATAACGTCCTATGAAACTCTACATGGGTCCCAAACGTCCATCTACCATGTCCAAATAACCTCTTCTAGTCTGTCTGTTTGTCTGTCTGTCTGTCTCCCTCCGTCTGTCTCTCTCTTTGTCATCCCCTTTTTGGGATGGAGGTGAGAGTTAGTTAAGGGAGACTTTGCTCTCTCTATGGAGTCCCCTCAGAATCCTAAAACATTGATTGTCCTCAGACTTAGGACAGATACTAAGTGCATTTCAGTGGGAATTTGGGGCAGGTGTCCTAGTGTTCTTGACTTCTCAGGGTCACCTGTGGGGGAGTTTTGAAAAAGTCATTTTTCCATTCACCACCATAAGCCCCAACAACTCTAACCCCGCAAGTCACTCATCTTTTTTTCTGTCTTCACTGTTTCCCTCTCCCTGCCCTCTCATACTCTCACCCAATGACATCCTGCTGGCTGCTTCTACCCATCCCAGAATGAAGACAACAGGCTGTGGGGAGCGTGGGTGTCTGGCCCCATTTGTTCCCATCCATGAGCTTGTGATTTGAGGCAAGCATCAGCCTTGATCTCAGTGAGGGCTCCTCACACCCCGGATTGGCTGGGCTCCCCGTCGTCTGTAGGCTGGTGTTCCTGAGCTGTGCAGGGTGGATGGCATTAGATCTACTGAAGTAATGTTGTCTGACTTCCATCCCCCAGAGACGCCTGGGAAAACCAGATGTCTGGCCAATGAGGCGATAACCAGAGCAAAATCTTTAAGTAAATACACAGACACAAACATCCATTTCCCCCCCCCCAACCCCAACCAATTTCTCTGGGCAGCCCCCTTCCCCAGGTTCCTGTGTTGGAGCTTTCCTCTCTGTCTCCTCCCCCCCCCACTCCTATATAGACAGGGTTCCTGCCCAGGTCCCTCAAAACATACACTGCATTTTAATTTTCCTTTGCTTTCTCTCATGGTAATCACAGCTCCAATGATTGCTCCTCTGAGTCAGACCCATACGTTATATCTCTCTCCCTGGCTTTGGAATCCCGGATAATTTCAGACACATCACTAGTCAGAGGACAGGTGGCTGTCCTAGGGCCAGACACCCTTCTCAGAGAAGTGCAGGCACAATTCCATGGTGCTAGGCCACTGGACAGGGTCCGGGGGGCTCAGGGCCTGGCTGCTTCCTCTCACTTGAAAGGACAAACAGAGAAGGTTCCCAACCTGACTCCCACACCACAGCTCCTTTGGGATATGTGTCATTGCCCTCTAGTGGAATCCAAAATCCTATAACATGACAGGATCATAAATAGAGCCACACCTGTTATGTCCTAAGGGAAAATAGGCAGGGAAGTCAACCCTTTTCTATTCCTCTTTTCCCCTCCAATAGTGTTGGATTTTTATGACTAAGTCATACAGATACCAGTACAATGACAATCCTACAGCCTGAGCATCATAGCCTCAGCCACAGTCGCACAGTTATACACATGCAGTTCTGACAGTCACAGCTATGTAATCACACTGAGACAATCTTGCACAGCTATACGGGTGAAGTCATAGCCAGACACTGTAGCATACATAGTCAGTCACGTATCTAGTCACAAATAGGCAGCCATACACAGATGTCCGCAAGTCAGAATGGGGTACCACTTATGAGCAAAAACATGGGCTTTCTGTGTATCCTTCCCCCTCCCCAAGATCCCAAGGAAAGAAGGATCATGAAAGTTTGGGTAGGTTAAAAAAAAAAGGGAGGAGAGGGAGTCACTGGGAGAAGGTGGAGTACACACCCTCTACCCTGACCTTTCCTTCTTCTACCCTCCTGCCCCCTCTATCTCTACTCTCCCTTTTCTCTAATCTATGCCCTGGACCCCATTTTCATCCCTAGTTCTTCCAAACCTTTCTACTAATCCTTTCTTGTTATCCTTCAATACAAAGCTACTTTCTCTGCCCATAGCACAAACCCTGAAGATTCTACCTTAGGCCAAACCTTGTTGGCATCTGATACTCTCTCTCTTTATACACACATACACACATACATGTATACATACATACATATGTATATGTATTGCTCCTCCAAGCCCTCAGACTCTGCATCTTCCTTTTGTTTCTAGTCACTAATGCTCCTTCCTTTCTTTCCAGTGTCTTCCCCTAGCTCTGAGTTCTAAGAGAAGGACTCTGTGGGTTAGGGAAGAAGGAACCTTCAGCCCCTGCACAGAGCTCATGTTTAATTAATAACAAGTAATAAGTCAACATGTAATTAGAGGATTAAGACACATGTGGGCTTTGCTTTACTCAGCTGTGCATGATGGGCATGGTCCTGGGGGACTTGGGGACAGCTTGCATGAAGGGGAAACATGGCCTCCATCAACCCACCTGTATGAGATCTCTTCTCCCTCCTTGCCACCACTCTCCAATTCCTTTTTTTTTATTTGAGGATCATGGGAAAGGGGAGCCTGTGTACAATATTTGCCTTCACCTGTCTGTACTTCTACCAACAGAGCATCTAGGTCAGTAATCCCAGTATGCCCCACCCCCAACTACCCTATTCTTGTCCCATGTCCCCATTTCTCTCTTTTATATCCATGCAATTTCCCCTGCCACCCCACGCTTTGCTCTGCACTTAATACCTCCTTCACAGTTTTGTCTTCAGCCATCATCTGCTCTTCACCAAAGCCTTCCAAACTCACCATAAGTTTTCCAAGCTGATCCTATGGAACTCCACTGGGCCCAGTTCCTGAAGCATACTCCAGTCATAACTGGAGCTAAAAGTTGTTATGATTCCACATTTAACCCAATTTGGCCCTCTGTCTAGCACTGCCCACTCAATTTACTAGGCATAGACCTAGGCTTGGGCCTCTGATGACTGAGGACAAAGATGGTAGGTACCTTAAATGTCACCTAATTTCAAATAAACCCAAAATAAAATGGCCACAGCTCCCTATCCCCTTCTCCCACCCACTCCAGTAACCTTTCCCTTAATCCAAACTTCTTAATTCTGCTTTTACTCCCACTTCCCTATGTAAGCACTGATATCTTGGTGAGAAAGGCAGTGTGGTTCAGTAGAAAATATGCTCACTTTGGAATCAGAAGATTTGGGTTTGAATCCTGTCTCTGACACTATCTGGGTGACCTTGGGTAAGTCATTTAAGCTACCTGGGGCCCCTCCAATGACATCTATGGACATGTCATTGGCTCTTTTCCCACAGAGCCTTCATTGTACTATTGTACTATTGAAATGTTCCTCTCTACTTCCCTTTTCCCCACAAAGCAAACATGTCTGTCTTTTTTTTTCCTGTACAGCAAAACACCTACTAATCGTGACTCTTCTTCAGATGGCATATAGCTTCCTAACACACATGCTCTAATATACAAAAAACAACACAAGCAATCACTGTTCTTTCAAGTTCTTTACTTCCCTAGTTTAATGCTTCCCTTTCCCATTTACTTTCTTCCTGTGTAATCCTCCTTCCTTAGCCCTTCCTTTCTGTGTACCATTTCCTTATATTCCCCCTCCTACACCTGTTCTCCCCTTTCTTCATTTTCTGCTTTCCAATCCTTACCTTTCCTCTAGTATTCCCCCTTCCTCCATTCGCTCAGCTGCCAGAGCTTTCCTTTCCCCTGTCAATTCCCTTCACACTCCCTCCAGTTCTTCCCTTCTTCCCCCCACCCCCAGATCACAGCTTCCTGCTTCTCCCTCCTCTGTCTTCATTTCCCTAGGTGCGGAATCACGTTGCCCTCCAGTGGCTGCAGCTCATGGCGACAGCAGGAGGAATTCTGGGGTCCCTGGCTGTCCCCTAAAGTCCGATGTTTGTTTGAAGGTGAGGATTTAGACTTCCAGAGGGAGAGCGGGGTGCTGTTGGTGTGCATGTGGACTCTAAACCTGGGGCCCAACAGGCACCTGTCCTTCCCATGTTTCCCCCCAACCCCCACCCCAATTACATCTGACCCTTCTTTCCACCGAAGATTCCTCTTCCCCCCCACCGGGCTTCTTCCTTTGTAACTAAACTTCTTCCCACCCCTCACTCCCGAGCCCGGCCCACCCTTGGGAGCCTGAGAACCTCCGCAGTTCTCCCCTCAGCACCTGGACAGCAGCCCAGGAGAAGGCCTCAGCTCTGCTGAGCTGTAGCTCCGCATCATCTCCCCCGGCAGCAATTCCCCGCCTAACCGCTTGGTGAGTTAATTCAATGTCTCTGACAACCTGACAGTCTAATTCCCCCCACCCTCCACAGTTTCCCCCACAACACACAGTCTCCTCTCTCATTCCCCCCACATCCCCACTCCATGATCCTGCCCTCTTACAAGCTTTGCTGACCCCATCCCATGAATACCTTCAATCCCTATAAACACACACCCCGGCTTTCCCCCAGGTAGTTAAATGTGTGAGGAGGGAGTGAGTGCTGTGAGGAGTGAGTATGAAGAGTAATTGTGTAAGGAGTAGGCTGTGAGATATGAGTGTGAGAGGGGAGTGGGTGTCAAAGGGATAGGTATGTGTGGAATTGGTGTGGAATGTGTCCTTAGCAGACCTGGCTACAGTTCCCTGGGCATGGACACAGCTCCCTGGGCTACTGGGCTTCACTGACTGAATTCTGCAGGTTATTTCAGGGTTGGGTGGAAATTTCCATTTCAGCAAAATCCATTTGCAAAGCCCTGGAGCTTTAGGAGTTCTCTCCTTTCCTCTCCTCTGCTCTTATGGAGATCTTTGCCCCACCTCCACTCTCCAACACCTCAGAGGAGGGGCCAAGATCTTTCATCCTGCTTAGACCTCCACAGGGGCAGGGGAGGTCCATGAACTACCTCTCTCCAGGGCTACAGAACAACCCCCCCCCCTTATTTTCTTCCCTTGGACTTCTTCCTTTTCAAAATATTCACATCTATTTATGGGTGATCATAAAGCCCCTAGAATATTTGGAGATTGGGGGCTCAATGATCTTTTCCTTCATATAATTTATTTATCTCTACCTTCTCTTTCCATCCAGAAAATGGGGGAGGGGGTAGAGGGAGGGGGAGGAAACTAATAGAGCTGGTTCAGGAGATCATAGCATTATAAAAAGTCAGAGCTGGAATAGACCTTAGAGATAAGGCAGTCCAGCCCCATCATTTTACAGAGGAAGAAACTGATGTCTAAGTTTGTGAAGTGACTTACTAAAGTCACACAGTGACCAAGATAGGACTTGAATCCAGATTCCCTGACACCCAGTTCTATGAAGCCTCCCAGAGATGTTGTAGTAGAGTGGATGGAGACTCATGGTAAACAAGAGGCCTGGAGAGATGGAAAATGGCATTGAATCTATGTTGGGATGTTCTGAGTTCAAGATCATCTGAGGAAATGGCTCAGTCATGGAGCTCCCAGGGCAGAGCAGGGTCCAGTTCTGAAGTACCCAGAGACCAATGGAGTCTCCAGGGCTGACAGGGTGAAAAGGGGTGAGATGCTTAAGGAGAGACCACAAATATCAGATCCCACTGGGGTAACCATTTTCATCATCATCATCATTAACATTTACATAGCACTTTAAGGTCTGCAAAATACTTTAGGTAGTATCACGTTTGAGTTGCTGTTATTATTCTCATTTTAAGATAAGGAAACTAATACAGAAAGAAATTAAGTGACTTGCCCAGAGTCACACAATGATTAAGGTGAGTGAAGCAGGATTCAAATTCAGGTCTTCCTGATTCCAAGTCCAAACCTGTATCCACTGTGCCATCTAGTTGCCTTCATGCTCCCAACCCCAATCTCTTATCCCTGGGCCAGCCTGGAGTCCTTGGTCACCTCCCATTTGGGAGATTCACTTGAGCAAAGCAGGGATATCTAAGGCCCTGGGGGTGGCCTCTAAGAATCTTGCTGGCTTTTGCTGAACACTGTTCCTGTAACACAATCATGAGCTGTCTCACTCTGAAGTGGGCATTGGCATGTGTGTATTTGAAGAGTGGGAAGGGAATGTGAACATGTGGGTCTTGGTGGCAAGTGTCTGTTCCCGGGAGAGGCCAAAGCTGCCTTCTGACCTCATGAACAGGTGGCAGATACCTCTTCCAAATGCCACCTGACTGACGTGATTGAGGTCTAGCCAAAGACATATTGAGTACATATTCAGTTCTATTTTCAGCATCAGTGAATAGTGAACTCTTGGTAAAGAGGTACCCCTGCCCATTACCTGCTTCTGTAACCATCTACTCCAGCACATTCCTTAACACATGTGTACTCCAGAACATGCTCTAACATATGCCCCACTCCAGGATATGCTTTAAGACATGCCCCACTCCAGGACATACCCTCCCTAACCACCACCACCACCCACCACCACCACCACCACCACCACCACCACCACTACCACCACCACATTTATACAGCACTTACTCTGTGCCAGGCACTGTGCTAAGGGCTTTACAATTATTATATCATTTGATCCTCACAGCAACCTTGGGGGGTAGGTGCAAACCTACCTCCCCCTACCCCCCCCCATTTTCTAGATTGACAGAGAAGGTAGAGATAAGGAAACTGAGACTGAAAGAGGTTAAGGGATTTGCCCTGAGTCACTCAGCTAGTGAGTGTGTGAGACTGGATTTGAACTTGGGTCTTCCTAAGTATAGGCCCAGCCCTCTATCCATTTCAGCCCCAGCTTCAACACTTCACCACACACTATAGCAGCACTCTCACTGATTCCTCACTTTAGCACTAACTCTAACACATACCTCTCTACCACATGCTCTCACACATGTCTCAGTACCTCACATACTCTAGAACATGCTTTTGGCCCATGTCCAAAGATGGGCTTCAGCTCTGGAACATGCTCTAGCACATTCTCCAGCTACTTCCTGGCTTCTTCCAATTGGGGAGCCCATCCCCATCTGCCTTACTTTCATCTCCCTAGAATAGAGTTTCTAGGCATTTCCTTGGGTTTCTGGAATTTGGCTCCCTGAGCAGTCCAAGAAGAACTGGTAGGAGAGAGGGGTAAACTCACAAAACCAAACTGGGGCAGTTCTGGGTTGGGAACACAAGTTACTACAGGGCAAGTCCTCTGGGTCCAGAGATGATCTGTCCTAACCTGATCTGAGGCTCTAGGCCTAGGGTGGAGCGATCTTGGCTGAAACCCTGAGTAGGCTGCATGATCCTGTTCTAACAGTCCAAGTCCCTTCCCTTCTGCCCCTCTGGTCAGGCGCCACTGCCCTCTGCACAGCATCCTTTCTGTCATCCCCACTAAAGGTTCTCCCCACCCCACCTCTCCAGACTGCAGTTATTAACACTCATAGACAGGAAACTATTAACCTCAGCTTGAATCCTCACCCTCAGCTTCCACTTTCACTAAGACTCAGCTGCTGGGTTTACCTTTGAGTTCAAACTCAGAACATTTCCAGAAAAAACTGTTTCTATCTTAGACTCCAAAGCTTCCCCCACCCCTTGCCTAGCCCTCTACTAATCTTACCACCTTCTTTTCCTTATTTATTGCTATCTCTTTGGTGTTGAAAAGGAAGGGCTACTCTCCTATCTCCAGAGGGGGGAAAAATAAGTCTAGCTCACATTACCTTAAAGTTTAACTACTTTCTTACAACAACTCAGGGAGGTAGATACAATTATTATTCCTATTTTGGTCAGTGAGGAAACTGAGGCTTAGTGAGTTATGCAAGGTGACTCAGGTAGTCAAGAGTAGTACTTAAACCCATATTAATCGATTCCAAGCCCAGAATTCTTTCCTTGGCTTCAGCTATCTCTTTCAAGGGAAGAATCTCAAGGCACAGGAAGGCTGTGAGTAACCCAGATACATTCAGCTTCCTCAGAGGACAGAGCAGGGAATGTTGTTTTCTCTCCTGTATCTTTTTCCTTCCCTCAGTTCTCTCACTGACTGCCTCATAGATCTCCTGCCCTCCCTTTCAGGCCCCCTTTCCTCTTACCTTTACCTCCTGGTCTCTTTCCCCACTGCCAACCCCTTCACTATTCCCAGCTCTTTCTGGCTCCATTCTTTCTCCATGGCTCCTTCCCTTCCCCCGTCCAGTTCCCTCAGCATCCGGCTTTTCCCTTTTCTCACACCTCCCCCCACACCCTCCTAGTGTGCCTCCCTCTCCCCATCTCTCCCTCTCCCTCTCCCTGCAGCTCCCTGTTTCTGCCAGCATCCCTGGAATAGAGGGGTGGGGGTTGCTGCTCAACTTCTAACCAGGGCTCCGGGGACCCTGCCAGAGAAGGGACACTGGGGGGATTGTATTCCGTCTGCAGTCTGCAAAGGTCCCAATTTTGCTGCCAGACCCCGCCTCCTAGTCAGAGATAGTGTCTCTCTGGCCTCCCCAGGAGACACCTGCCACTTCCCTCCCCTCTCTGAGAGAGCCCCAGGCCCCCATTCTTGAAGCTTTCTCCTCCCTGGGAAGCGGGGGACCACAGCAGAAGGGAGGGTGCTTACAGATCCCATGAGAAAAGCCCCGGGGACACGAGTCTGGAAAGAAAGAGCTTTGGAAAAAAGAAATAAGAAGGGGAAAACTGTTTCCCGCTCAGTTATTACTGTGATTATTTATTTATTCATTTATTTTTTATATCTCTGCCTAATGAGCGAGGGAGCAGGGTTGTTCCCGGCGGGAGAAGAGTGTGTGTGTGTGTGTGTGTGTGTGTGTGTGTGTGTGTGGGAGAGGTGGAGAGAGATAAAGCCTGCGGCTGCCCACGCTAAGCGCATCTCCCCAGTCATCCCCACCCCCACTCCGCACTGCGCCCCCCATCCCCAGCCTGGGGACGTCCTTACAGCGTCCCCCCTTCCCAACTCCAAGACCCTCCCTCCGCACTGCGCTGTGCCTCAGCCTCGGTCCCTGCCCTAAAGGGACGACCCCTAAACCTCACTCTAGCAGCTGAGACTCCGCCCCCACCTTCCCCAGGCTGGCTCCTGCCCCACCCCCCCCAACCAGAGCTGCGGCCGGAGGACTTAGCCAGACTTTCCCGGAGCCGCAGACTGTAATGAGATTTCAGCTGTAAGTTATGGGCACTGCCTCCCGGCTCAGCTCTACGCCGACATTCTCTTCACGCCAGCTAGATAGCAAGCAAGCCAGGTCCTCCCAGGAAAGAGCCGGACTTGAGCCAGACCTGGCTGATGTAAGCTGAGCTGGGCTGGGCTGGGAACTGCCTGGAGAGTACGGGCTTCCCGCCTCCTCATCCTATTCTAACGGGCCTTTCCGGGAGCAGCAGCAGAGGACGGCCTGGGATGGAGCCCGAAAGACCAGTTCTGGCCTCAGGCGGCCCAGGAGAGTTCCCCTCAGTGCCTCCTCAAGGCGGCTTCCAGGAGGTGGGGGCGGGAAGGAGAGACCAAGATGCTTTCCATTCTGCTGGAGCTTTCCTGGAGGAGACCGAGGATGAAGACTCTAGTTATGCTTGGGGCACCGACCCCCAGCACTTGTTCTAGCCCGGGCCTCAATCCCTCCAGCCTCTAGTCCCGGTCCCCAATCCTAATCTCTTATCCCTGGGCCTAGTCTGTAGTCCCTTAGTCGCCAGAAGAATTTTCATGCGTTCGGATCCCAGATTCCTTTGAGCAAAACAGAGATGTCTAAGGCCCTGGGGGTGGCCTTCTTCTGCTGCACACTGTTCCCCTGCAACACAACCACGAGCTGTCTCAGTCTGACCACTGGCCTGGGAGAACGCTGGCATGTGGAGGGGATGTGAACATGAGGGTCTTGGTGGCAGGTGTCTGTTCCTGTGAGAGGCCAAAGCTGCCCTCCGACCTCATGCATAGGCGGCAAAGACCGCTTCCAAATGCCACCCGACAGAGAGAACGTGTCATTTAAGGAAATGTCAACTAATGAATATTTGATGGCCTTTAAGCAGGGGACATTTGCTATTCGCTTGGAAAGAGGGGATAGAGGATCCCCTCCTCCCAGGTTCTAGGCCTACCATCCTCAACCCTTTCCCCAATGGATAAAAAATTCATATCTAAGGTAATGACATTTTTCATTTCCTTTCTCCAGGTTCTGGAAATGGGCCTCAGTGCTGCTCATCAACCTCCCCATCCCACTTCATCAGGCTACCTACTACCCTAATATGTTACCTATGGGAAGGGAATCTTGCTCAAAACTTGGGACATCTTCATTCCTTGACTATCAAATTCTCCCCTTCGTGCATTTTTAATGGAAATTTTAAATGAAAATCTGGCTTCTCTCCCTCTCTCCTCCTCACCCCACCCCCCATGAGAAAGAAAAGCAAAACCTCTATTTAAAAAAAGTATAGTCAAGCAAAACAAATTCCTGCATTGGCCATGTTTTTTAAAAAATGACTCAAATTGCACTCAGTCCAAAGAGATGATGACATCTCTCAGACAAGAGGTGAATCTGGAATTATGACTGGTCTTTGCATGCATCAGCATTCTCAAGTCTTTGAAAGACTTTGAAAGACAAAGTTGTTTGTCTTTATATTGTTGTTGCCGGATAAATGATCCTCCTGGTTCTGCTCACTTCATTCTGTATCAGTTCATGTAAGTTTCCCCAGGTTTTTCTGAAGCTTTCTCCATCATTTCTTATAGGATAGTAGTATTTCATTACATTCATATACCATAACTTGTTTGGTCATTTCGATCAATACATCAATCAGCAAGCATTAATAAATGCCTTCTCTGTGCCAGGCAAGCATTATGCAAGACCCTATAGATACAAAGAAAGAATAAAAATATTTCAAGGAGTGTGGTCCATTCTCCCATTCATGGGAGAAGCAACATAACACAAAACAAGCAAGTATAAAGAGGCAACTAGACACAGCGCTAAGAGTGCTAGATCTGGAGTCAGGAAGACCTGAATTCAAATCCAGCCTTGGATAATTCCTGTGTGTGACTCTGACTTAATGTCTGTCTGCCACAGTTTCTTCAACTGTAAAATGGGGATCATAGTAGCTCCTACCTAGGGTTGTGATAAGGATCAAATGAAATATTTGTAAGGCACTTAGCACTGTGTGGCACACAGTAGGTGGTTAATGAACGCTTCTTTCTTTCCACATATACAAAGTAAATATGAGACAATGGAAGGAGTAGCAAGATCCCAAAAAGCCTCTCACATAAGTGGTGCTTGAGCTGAGATTCAAAAGAAATTAGGAATCTGAGGGGTGCGGCAATAAGGAAGGGGTGTATTCCAGGCTGCAGTGCAGTGGCCTAAAGACAGGAAATACGATGTGTGAAATTGTAGTGTTAGGAACATCAAGAAGGCCAGTTTGGCTGGAGACAGAAAGTATGTGGAGAAGAACATAACAACACTCAACATTCATTGAGAGTGCCTGCTATGTTCAGGGCCCTGTGCTGGGCCCTGAGGACACAGAGATGTATAGAAAAGGGCACCTATCTAAACGAAGCTCATAATCTATGAAAAAAATTGGATGCAGATAACTATAACGCAAAATTAAAGGCCAGTGGAAAGCCACAAAATGCTAGGGGGGAATCAGATGAAACCAGAAGGTTAATGGTACTATATTTCTATCATGCTTTAAGGGTTACAAGGTGTATTACTCACAATTGTGAGGTAATATTCTGAATTTACAGATGAGGAAACTGAAGCTCAGAGAGTATCACTGAGTTGCCCAAGCCACAGAGCCAGGACTCAGTCATGATTTCTAACTCCAGAACTAACTGTTATGTTTTGCATGTTTATGAGAGGTTATTAAAATATCATCAGCTCCCACAGTGGGGGGGGGGCCGGGAGGAGCGTATAATCTGCTCTGATAGTATGCCTGAAAACCCATTTACAAGTCTATGTGCCAGGACACTGCCAGCTACAGATGGAAGGACAGCCTTGATATGACTGACTATGGGAGTCTGTGAAGACCTAGCAACCTGGAGAGGGGGCCCTGTGGAGAGTCACAGAATCTAGGCTCTGGAGATGATGAATGATTATTGCGTATGTGTACCAATGCACTCTTGGCACTATACCAAGGTGTTGGGGTGGTGGACTTCAGTTGCTGTCATAGGTGCAGGGTGTTTCAGGGACAAGGATGGTAGGCCAGAACTACCAAGCAGAAACTGGCTTGGACCTACTGAGCAGCTTCCAAATGGGTTGGTAGGGAGGGACTAAAGAGATGTGGCTTCCACCAAGAACCCTTACCCTCTCTGTCTCTGTCTCTTGGCTTTGTGTTTGTCTCTGTCTTTCCTGAATTTGTTTCTTGGCTTTCCTTCTGTATCTATCTCTCTGTCTCTATCCCTCTCTTTCTCTTTCTCTCCTCTCACCTGGATCGGGTGATTCCTGTTGCCTCCAGACATAAAGAAAACAAAGACTCCTCTGAATAGCAAAGCATGGGTAGCGGCTGCGATCTGGCTCGCTATGTGACACCACCACCCACACAGTCCTACCCTCCCAAGCTTCGGCCCTGACACCACTACTCATGCTGTTTCATTGGCATAAATACCTATAAGCACACGGACCCTTATACAATTACTGCCCCCCCTTATACAATTACTGTCCCCCGTACAACTCCCCACACAAAGCACTTGGCCCCTGACACAGCACCTCGTGCATAGCCACTATCTCCCTGATTATTCCCTCCTGCCAGCCACCCACGCCTATAGCCAATCTTCCTGACACACACCCATCCAAATTATTGTCTGTCATGCCCCACAGCACCCCACCACGCACCCACAAGGTTACCCAGCAACTCTGCCCAGTCACTGCCCACCCTCAGTGACCAGCCAGAAGAAGAATTAACAGAACTCCATTATTTAAGCCCCCATGGCCACTGTGGACTTGGAGCTCTGAAAGTCTCTATGGACTCACTTCATTGAGTAGGATTGACAGCAGGAGTCTGAGTCTGATTCTGATTCTTAAAGGAGATTTAGGGCTTGCCAGGTTCCTCTTCCTTCTCTTTCTCCTCTTCTTCCTCTTCCTCCCCTCTTCTTGACTTTTCCAGGTTCCACAAACTTTGGTTCCCCTAGATGGGGAGTGACGACACCTAATTGGCTGTTCTCTGGAGAGCCCTGTTCATAAATCACAGCTCGGTTTAAAATGTCGGCATCACCTCCCAGGAGTGCCGGGCTCGACCAGTGAGGAATGTGGCCTCAGAGAGAACCTACCTAACCCAAACTGTTGCCTGCTCTGTGTCTTGCACCAAGAATACTAAAGTCTGGCTAGGGAGGAAAGAGGAGCAGGGCAGGGTACTTACTGTCAGGAGGTGAGAGACAGAAACCATCCCAGAGATAGGCATCCCACAAATAATGACACCTCACATGTCTGTTGTGCTACAGAAGGTTCTCCTTCCAATAGCTTAGTGAGGCAGATACTGTATTATTACGCCCCCCCCATTTTACAGAGGAGGAAAACTGAGCTCAAAAAGATTAAGTAACTTGTGCAAAGTCAAGCACTAGTCATTGATGAAGTATGATTTAAATCCACTCCAAGTGAGGCTATAGCCATTTCTCTTGCCTGCTCTTTTCTTCCTCTGCCGAGGTCTGCAAAGTGAAACGCTTGCTACTCTCAGTACAAAAAATAAGTACATAGCAAGGCCATGTTGGATTTTGGAATCAGATGTTGTTCAGTCATGAACTCTTCATGACCCTCCCCCCCCTTTTGGGGGGTGGGGTTTCTTGGCAAAGATACAGGAGTGGTTTGCCATTTCCTTTTCCAATCAGATGACACGGGTTCAAAAGCTGACTCTTACCTGTGTGACCTTGGGCAAGTCACTTACTCTGGATCTCAGTTTCCTCATCTGTAAAACGGAGGGGTTGGGCTAGATGACCTCTGACTCACCTCTGATCTTAGAAGCCTACACACTTTCATGTCCTTGTTCCACTTTAATTCTGTGATGCCCATAAGTACATACTTTTCACTGCCAGTGGATCCCCTATGGGTGATCTTTGGCTACTGGACATGTGTCAGTTCTAATTTTGGAAAGGCATATTTTTTTTAAAATTTTTTTTGGGGGGCTAGGCAATGGGGTTAAGTGACTTGCCCAGGGTCACACAGCTAGTGTTGTGTGTCTGAGGCCGGATTTAAACTCAGGTCCCCCTGAATCCAGGGCTGGTGCTCTATCCACTGTGCCACCTAGCTGCCCCAGAAGGCATATCTTTCAAGAGTTTTAGTGTATGACAATATGTTGACACATTGGACATGAGGTGTGTATGATAATACGTTGGCAATGCCACAGAGTGGCAGTGTCAAGATTGGCTTGGTCTCTGTACCTTTTAAACCTGAAGGGGCCTGGCTTCAGAGGTGTTATCTTCATCCTCTAGTTTTAAAATATTGACTTTGGGAGTGTGGGGCACTGCTATTGGTTAAGAGGGTGAAAAGGGGAATCTCTGGTTATCCTTAGAGGTTATCACATAAAGTACAACATGGCACCTATATCTATATGAACTTTGCAAAGACTCTTATATGGGGCTGTTCCAAAAGTTTTGGTGAGTTTTTACCTATTAAAATCAGAAAATGCCAGTTCAAATCCTGTTTAGCCCACTTACTACCTATCTGACCTTGGGAACTTCTTTGGGCCTCAGTTTCTCATCTTTAAATGAAGGGGTTGCAGGATATGACCTCTTAGGTCCCTTCCAGTTCTAAACATACTGTCATAGATCTTATATTTAAAACTCATGACTGACTCATTTTGATAGTAATATTTCTCTGTTTTCTCTCCCCTCTTTCTCCAATACAGATGCCATCTTCACTGGCAACTAAGCCCTTTACAATTTGGCTCTGGCCTACCTTGCCAAATTTATAGCATATTATTCCCTTTCATATACCCTCATCTCCAAAGCTGCTAGTGCCCTTCTACCCAAATTATTTTGTATTTAACTCTATTTTGAATTGACTTGTCTGTAACCCCAATAAAATATAAATTCCTCTAGGGCAAGGGTCTTTTTATTTTTTTATGTTTCTCTTAGGCATCTGGGTGGATAAGTGGTTAAAGAACTGAACTGATCATGAAGACCCAAGTTCAATTTTTGCCTCAGGCACTTCCTAGCTGTCTATCCCTTAACTTCCATTTCCTCAAATGTAAAATGGGGATAATAGCAGCTATCTCTCAGGGTTTTAAGGATCAATGAGAATCGTATCTGTAAAGTGCTTAGTATAGTGCCTGACACATAGTAGGCACTTAATAAATGCTTATTCTTTCCCCTCCCTTTCTATCTCAGCGCCCAGCATTGTATCTGGCATAGAATATGTCCTTAATAAATGCTTATTGAAAACTGAATGAATGCACTTTCATGTTACGCAGAACACTTTGCCCTGATACTA